ACATAAAGCAAGGGGCTTTCTTTATATGACTATATTGTTTTTGTCATGAATTTCGAAACCAGAGAAGAGAGTTTCAGAGTGAAAGAGAAGGTCTCTTCAAGACTCTTATGAGCTGAAGTTAAGATTTTTCGCTAACTGACAAAGAAGAGAAGTAATAAATTATGTCCTACGATCAGCTATATTTGTCTGATTTCAATAAAAAAAGCAACATAAGAGTTTACGTGTTAGTTTGAGTCTTGATCCAATAAATTGTAATGGCTTTCGTCATATGAAACAACACGGATTTTTCTCAAGTCAGACTTGCACAAACAATTCGCTTAGTGTTATTGCAGATCCTCTCATTTTCTTCTCAGCAAACTAAACACCGAAGCCTGAAAGAAGGTGTTAAGCCAGATCATAACTTTGATGAATAGCCTTTCTTAAATTATCATGCACGAAACGATTACGAGATAATTTGGAAACTCGCTGTTTGAATGCAGTCTTTTTCTTGTCCTTCATGGCACTGTGAGCTTTAATGAAATTTCCAATGCACTGCAATCGGAAGGGATACACGTATTGAATTGCCTGAACTTTGCGCAAACACTCGGAATTCCCGAGTTCCGAACTTCTAGTCTTTGTATTGTCTAGTTGTTTGTTTTCTTCCTCGAAGATTTTTCTCAGAGACTCCAAGTTTTCCTTGAATTATAAAGGTCAAATGATATTTTTCTTCCATCGCAATAAATTAGCGCGAGCAAAACTAAATTCAGACAAATTTTCTCATAAGATAAGAATATATACCTTATCTACTTCCTTATTGGCATTCTCAAGGGTTAAACAAAAAGTGGAATAAAGGAATGTATCTCAAAATACATCGAATAAAATGATCTCCTCGTGATAAAACATCACCAGTCAGAGCCATTGCTCCTAGTTATATCGCAAAAAACATGAATTAGTAGTAATAGTAGTAATTGATTCATTAATCGCTGCTAATAATCATATTGTGAAACTGATCATTATTGTTCTGAATAGAGTCAACATTAATGGGTCGACCTAAGTATTTGACCATATAGTGAGCAGTCTGTGTTTCGCATAGGCCATTGCAACACGAGCAGCGTCGAACTTTACTGAATCCTCCAACTGTTTCAAATTATGCCGTTAAGGGTATTTTTTTACTTCTAATGCTTTCATCTACATATTAAAAGTAATGTTTTTGAGACTAGAATAAGGTTTTGTGGACAAGATTATAGAAAAGATGATCTTCATCTATACTCACAATAGTACTAATACATGCACTAACATGAGACGGATCACATGACTTATTTTTTCAATCACTTTATAAAAAGAGCTCTGTTCCTAAATTCAAGTTCTATTCTGACACATATAACATTGGATACGTGAATGCAATCATTGGAAGTAAAAAACACTGTACAGCATGATTCGGAACAGTTGAAGGATTGAATAAAGTTCGATGCTACTCGTGCTGCTATGGTTTATGTGAAACACAGACTATTCACTAGATGATCTAATACTTATGTTGCTGTATTAATGTCATCTCCATCCAGAACAATAATGATCAGCTTCACTGGATAAAAAGTAGCAGTGACCTACGAATCAATTACTACTAATTCAATTTTTTTTGCTTCAGAACTAGAACTACTGACTTCGCATCGTATTTTGCATGTGGTTAGGACATTGGGAATACTATTTTGAACAAGAGATATGGTAAGCTGAAATGATTTAAATGATAATTCATTGTATTTATCCTCCTATAGAAACTAACGATAAAGATGCCAGAGTAGCTTCATGTAACTTTTAAGGGTTTGCCAACTTTTAAAACCCTGCAAAGTTGGATGATATTTTGTGAAGACTTTAAACCACTTCAGAGCTTCTAAAAACCTTGTGTTCTATAGTCTTTTAAAACCTACTGTTTCTCATTTTGTTTCATTCTTCTGCAAGTAGCATCGATAGCAGATGTAAAAGATAAATAATAAAATGGTCGATAACTTATAGTCTCGTCTTGCCAACTTTCCTACATGTGAGATGACCATAAGATACTTCGCGACATTGTCGAAGTTGTATCGTTACATCATAGTTTGTGCAGTTTTGAAATTCGAAAGAAAAAGCTCCGTAAAACATTCCTGATTCTAGTCCCTATATAAAGGCTAAATTTTTCATCTGATGAACTCTGTTCATTACTCTTGCGCATAAAAATTTATAGTACATGTGTTTGTTGACAAAATAGCTGCAGAACAAGTTTAGTCTTGACTGAATTGTTTTAAGAAATCAAAAAAATCAATCAGTTTAACCGCACATCTGAACAATGAACTTGTTTGACTGGTTGGTTCCTACAGCTGACTGAAGTTTACTTCTGCAAGACTACAGAAATCAATTTCATTTCTCATCTTACGATACAGAGTTAGATACTTTTCGTAGACTGACACCTGAGGTCGAACCAGAATATCTACTGTTCAAAAACTGCTAGTCAACAATAAAATCTAAACGATAACTAGTGTTCTGCGTTTCATCTGACAATCAGAACCCTGTGTTATAAGCTTAAATAAATTCATGTCACCTATATGTCATGGATTTTTTTAAGACAACAATGCATCAGTCTACTTGGGTACCCAGTTGACTAGTCAGTAGTAGAACTAAAACATCTCTATCTGAAATGCAGCGATGATATAACAAATCGAAAACTTTACCAGACCAGAGATATAGAATCAGTTTTTACCTGTTGTTTGTCTATCTAGAGATAAAATGACGACAAGAGAATACTTATAAATAATTTATTCCTATACTGTGAGCACATAACTGTGAACATTAAAACAACAGTTGAACCGTTAAAGATGTGATATCTTTGAAATGGGTAGCTTCTCTTTCTCATACTATACCAAGTTGAGCAAGAGAGCCATTGAAATGAGAAACAGAATTTATCATATTGTCTTCATAACGTGCACACCCTGCAAGTTTAGACTTTATCATAAAGTTTACTGCATAATGTAAAAACTAATAGCAAGTGACTGATAACTATCGTTAAATTTGGAGCATGATGGACGAATATCATAAATTTGTAAATAGTTTTACTTTCGACAGACCGATAAATGTTTGAACTAGACAAAAAAGATCCTTATTTTAGAAGAAAGGATGTCTATCAGAGAATAGAGATCAAAATGCGCTAGTAGAATATACCTAGTCTGTCACCTGAGGAAAGAAATATGAAACAGAAAGACTTGAATAAAGTTTTAATTCGCTCAGTTTTTAGATCATCTCAACGATGAGTATGCATAACATGATATATTGTTTTCCGCTTAGTTTCACAAGAAGATAAAATCATGTTAGGTCCACCTTCGGCTCGTTGAAGCTTCACGTTTCACAATTTCCAGTTTTCGGCTTATTTCATTCGAAACTATTATGCTATATTCTCTATCAGGATTAGAAACTCTTGTGATTTATTAAAGCTACCATGAAATTGGCTATTATTTGCCTTTTCGTGCGTAAATTGTGAAAGAAATTTTATGTCTCATTTAGAAATGAGTTACATTCCACATCTCTACATTATTTTCTTAGACCAATGGTTTTAGAAATGATAAGTGAATGAAGTTGCATCTGATATGTATGAACATGAGCTATAATTTCAGTATTTTTCACATATCCACATTAATTAATTCAGGGTCTTCCATTGGACTGCCAGGGAATTTCCGGGATTTCCGTGGAATTTCCGGATTTCTATGAGATTGCCAGAATTTCTATGGGATTGGCAATCCTGGCAATCCGCTGATTCCCCCTGGCGAAATATAGTATATGATGGAACGTTTATCAAAATTTAAGGACTACAATTAAATACAAATCATCTGGATACTCTGGCTTCAACTTATTTCCAATCCATCGAGAAGAAATCAACGAAGAATAAATGAAAGGATCCTTGTAAACTATTATTAAGCTTAAAATATGAATAGCATTAAGGGATTGTTTTAGCTAAATTTGACGCATTTTCGTTCGTCTAAAAGGTTTGACATGATAATAGTGAACAAAGATTTCTCACACACCGTCTATCTACAAGATCTTACATTCAAAGATTCGTAGTTGCCGTTCAGAAAAAGAGGATGATATGTTTTGAAACAACTATTCATTCTCAATAGTGAAGTTTATTCGAATATTTTCTCATGACAAATCATCACTTAGTGAATAGAACATAGCATTGAAATATAACGGATGGAGCAGATAAAATCACTGGTCTTTTAATAGATTACTTTCTCAAGTCAAACCTAATCAGAAACGTTCGCAACAAAGGTAACAGATACCAAAAAGGGTGTGGGTGGATGTGGGCGGATGTGGGTGTGGCTGTGGGTGTGGGTGGGCGGGTGGGTGGGTGGGTGTCGGTGTCGGCTAGGAGAATAGCTACACCCATCCATACGCACCCACACCTACACACCCACACGCACCCACACCCCACATCCCACACCCACACCCACACTCATCCTCACCCTCAAGATAATATCAACAAAAAAAAAAGAAAATTTTAGAACATCGAGTAAAGTCAAATAAATATCGAAACAAAATTCATTTTCTATGTGACAAATAAAGCAAAGCAAAATTAATTATCTCAAGAATCGACTTTAATCAACGGTTTTCATAGATACAAATTTCGATGTCGAATTATTCAACAGAACTTTGAATGTAATCGATGTAATTTTTATTTAATTATGTTTTTAACACAAAAACTCTGCAATGAATCAATAATCTACTCTTAGTAGTTCAGAGATCATTCGAAACTTGAGCAGCTAAAAGAGAAATAACCAGATGTCAATTCTTAGCTATATGCGGCAGTTCAAGGATTTCCGAATGTTTTGTGAATCGAAATTATGCTGCATTGATTAGAAATAAATGAAGTATTCGTGTAGGGATAGGAGTTGGATCGTAAAAGGAGAGAAGCTCACAACTCGAAGAAGAAGAAGATACTGAACAATAAACAGGACAACCCGCATGCGTAACGATTGAGGTATCTAATGGAACAGCGCTCTTTACACATAAGCGTAGTTTTTGTCAATCAATCCATGTTCTTTCATCTCTTCCCAAAAAACTGACGGCACAATGGCATTTCCTGCCGCTACCATATCTAAATTCTCTTTAATTCGGTTCACGTTCGTGGTACTTAACGCAATACTCTTAACCCCTGGTGCATTGAGTCCAAATATGGTGCATACTTGAGCCGGTTTAATTCTGTATTTATCACACAGTTTAAAAAAATCTGCACGCCACTGGAACAGTTGTTGATCTTGCACAGGATTCATTAATCTATAATTATAATAATTTTTGCCAATTAAAAAGCCACCATTGAACACAGCTGCGTTGATAATAACTGTTCCACGCTGTTGAAGTTCTTCCATAAAAGTAACTAGTTCCTGTGGATGACTGTGTACAGTCATACTGTTGGCAATCATTATCCAATCTAAATTGACATCATTTGCAATACGTTGTATCATTCTCCAATCTTTTGCCCCTATGCCAACAGCTTTGACTTCGTTTCGATTCTTCAGTTCATAAAGCGCACGGTAAGCTTCAATAATGTCATTGTAGCGTTTTTTCTCTTCTAACTGATTTTGAGCACCGGCTACATACTCGTCGGGATCATGTACGGATACAAGTTCAGCCTTGTAACCATTCAACAGTTGATTGCCTTGTTCGTAACATTTGAGTATACCTTCGTAGCTGATCTTCTGTACAGCATCATATTTCAAATTACGCCATACTCCCGGTTCAAATGTAGGTTCTGCGCCACTTGGAAGTTCATTTGCTCTATACCAGCCAAGTTTATTGCTGATCAGCACATCCTCTGGCTTAACATTTAAAGTTTTCAGGCAACTACCCAATGTTTCTAAAGCTAATCCAGCTCCATATTTCCCAGCACAGTCAAATACGATCGGTTTTTGTACTGAACTATGTTCCACAAATGCTTTCACGATTTCAAGTTTAATTTTATCTTCCAGTGCCACATATAGATTTCCTAGCGCACTTGCCCCAAAGATTACTTTCGGTAATTTTATTGTTTGTGACATCTTAAAGAAGGCAAGTGGATATAATAGCTTTTTACTGCATAACATGTCTGAAATTCATATAGCTATTTGAAATTAGCATCGAATTCTGAACAAAATGGCAACTGTAGCTTTTTGAAAATATCACTTTTCGTTTTTTGAAAGAGTTTTAGCCCATGTGACCTACTGCTCAGGAACATAAAAAAATTGATATTCTCAAATTCTAGAGAAATATACAACACCTCAGTTAGAATTGCATGTTGATTACGAATACCGGTTCGAAAGTGTAAAAAAAAAAGATTTTTAACGAGAAAATGTGTTTGGTTTTGTGGGATGACATAAGTGAACTATCGAAAGAAATGTCAGGATTAGCTCGAATGATACGATTCATTGACATTCAAAACCACCTAGGTCTGGTCAAAAATGAATCGGCTTGCCAAATATGACCGAAAACTGTATTAAACTAATATTTTTCAAGCTAAAAGGCATTTTCGAGTCAAAAAGTAAGAAAACATGTTATTTTCTTGAAGTCATAATCGTTCCATTTGATAACGAAGATAAGTTCCAATGGGAAAATATCACAGTCGTATGCAATTTTTGATTCCCCATCAAATAATGATTCGATGACCTTTTCAAAATTTGACTTTTTTGGGAAAATATGGTTTCCTCAAATAAAATTTTTGAGAAATCCTTGAAGAATTTTATTATTTTCCTCAGTTTCCTCTATCAAGTAATCTGATATACAAACTAGCTACTTTTTCGCTGAGAGATTTCCTCAAAAGATGTTAATACTTCTGTCTAATTCAAAAATTACAGAAAAATCTCAGTAATGTACCATTTGATTCATTTTTCGATGCTCTTTTTAATTGCAAATAAAAAAAGTTACGAAAAATAAGAACTAATATTTTCAAAAAAGTAAAGTGACTATTTTGTTCACAATTCGACGATGATTCTCGACATATATTTGACTTTCAGAATATTATCTATTGAAAAACTATCTTATCCACTTTCCTCCTTTCATATAGAGTAAACGCATGCTGATTAATGAAAGAAGAGAGGCTATTCATTTTAAAACTATTAATCTCGTATTTCAGACAAATATTCAGGAGAAAATCAATCAATATCAGTATGAATCGTTAGATTTTGGACTATATACTCACCCAGACTACTTTAGTTTCATTCTGCATAGAAATTGTGGTTATAAAAACGTTTTTTTTGGTTCTAAATCTTCTATTCTTAAAGTTATAGAATTTTCAGAATGATATTATTAACTAGTCTTTACTTAGAAAAAACACCATTATAAAAAGTACGAGGGTTGTTAACTTGAGATCATCTATTTATGAGCAACAATTTAAAAACAAAAGAAAACTAGATCAACCTGTGCATTTGATGATTTTCGAAAGAACCTTGATCTTGAAGTCAGAAAAATATGATTACTTCAAATAGGTACAAGCTTCGCATAAATTCTTGTTCAAAAGTTACTCTATGTTTCAAAAGTGAATCCTTGATAGAAGAGATCATTTAATAAAAGATCTATTGAAAGAATTTTTGGTGTCAGTGGATCATTTTCCTGTATACATTCTTTTACATTCCAATAACAACGGATATATTTAGATTTATGAACAGATATTATCTAAGACCATTTACGATGAAGCGTACAAAATTTGTTCCAGCTGTCTATGTAAGGGTAATCATCGATGGACTCAAGTCAAAACCTTTAAAGAAGTAATAACAGATTTTTTCCGAAAATTTGATATATAGAAGATGATTTTTTTAGGTAATACGAGCTAAAAACTTTTTTCTTTGAGGGAAATTTATCTCTAAACGACTCACTGTCGCCTCGCCATTAGGATCATTTTAAGTTGTTTTTAAATTCCCGTCGTAGATGTATTTTCACACAGCTGTGTTAAACACTGATAAATTTAGAATCGAAACCTTTTTTTTTGCAACCTGAACGAAATAAAACTTGTGAATTGTAAAAGGAAAACATATCGATCAGTTCTGCTCGAATATAGATCAAAAAAAACCAGGCTTTCCTAGCTGGAAAAAACAGTTAGTGAACATTCTGTCAGACATGAAAATTAAATTGATGTTTAAGAGGTGATCTAGATGGTTATGATAGAACGTGCAGTATTAACATTAACAATTCATCTAACGGCACAGAAGAAAGGTGATGTCTATTTTTTGGATTATTTTTTATAGAAAAAAACTTAAGTTTTGCAATTTTCGCTATTGTTTAACAAAACCGTGTCTCTACAAGTCTGTGAAAAAGTTCAGTTCCAAGCGGTACACGTAGTTAGTAAATCACATCAAGATTTGAACTGTGAGTAGGCAGAGTATTAGACAAAATGGAATTATAATTTCTAAATAGGCTATTTGGCAGTTCGGTAGTTGATATGCAAAATTATACAAGTTCTAGGTAACTATCTGTCTCGATCCCGGAGCTGACTATTTTTAAATTCAATAAGTGAAGCTTCTTTCATTTGGAGAGCAATAAATTATGTCACGATGCTCAGCATGGAGGATCAGATACGTCGGAAGTGTTTTTTTGAGTTTTCAGAGGTGGAAGAACCGAGAATAGTAATTTTGCGGAGAATGTTTATGCTTGTGGAATTGAGATAAGTAGAGACTTGTAGAACTCTAAAATAATTTCGGGTCTATCAATTCCAATATTTAATATTCAAACAATAAGATGAATATTCTTTTCTGACAACTTATCCTCTCAAATCTGGTCTATTACTTACAGGTCTTGACTATCTAGCAGTGAATTATCCAAGAAATAATTGTCATCGATGATTGATTCCTTGAACGACATGTGGCGAGAGTAGTAAAAGTTACTTCTAACTTATCTGTTGTAAGTGTTTATTAACGATACGAAGAAAAGAAGAGAAAAATATTTTGTGGATACCTGTGCGCACATAGAGTGAAAGACAAATAACGATGAATGAGTAAAGAAAGTAAATAATAACCAAATTCACATTTATCTCTGAGAAAATTAAGAGGATCTGTCGAAAAGTACATATCAGAATGTTGATAAAAAGATGTCGTTTGAAGACGATTTAGAGATCTTTCTATCTCAATTAATGTAGATGCCAAAAAAGAATGCATCTCGATATTTTTTGAATATCTTCCGAACAGAAGCAGCTAGAAACCTGCGGTTTTCGTCATTCGAAAGAGAAATTTTAGTGAAATCTGTTGATGCTAAAATCATTTTGTCAAGACTTCTTAAAAGTTCAAAGTTGGGTGTGGGTGTGGGTGTGGGTGGGTGTGGGTGTGAGTGTGGGTGTTGGTGTCATCTATTGTTCATCCCCACACCTACACCAACACCCCACCCAGACCCACACCTCACCCACCCACACCCACACCCTTTCTTCTTTTTGAAAAACAATATCGATGAACATGTAACTTTAGACCACAAGCATTTGATATCAGCATAAAAGCAACAAAGACAGCAGGACTCAAGCTATTTGAATATCAATGCGAAACAAAGGCTAGAAAGCTTAGTGATTATATGAAGTTTGATAGTAAAACGAGTTACTCAATATAGTGGTTGATTGATCAAATATAATTCTGCCTGTTTTTTTTAAAATCATGATGGAGCAATAACTCGACGAGAACGAATATGCTTTTTCAGCGATCGATATAGCCTTATGACATTCCAGATGATGAATCGTAAGCCAACCGTAAGACCACCATAGAGACCAAGTACTGATGTAGCCACATACAAGATATTATTGCGTGTAACATATTCAAAATTGCAATGACTTGGTGCACATGTAGCAAAATAATCTTCGTATGACATTCTAAATGTCCATTCTTCGATAAAGTATTCGTCTAGGAGTGTACCGATTGAAGTGTTCTTTGGAAAACGCGAAGGTGTTGAGCTGTCTAATGGAGATATAGTCAAGGGCAATGTTGTGGGTGGAACGAAATTAATAGGTGGTGATCCATCCATTTGTGTGTAGTATTCAAGATAAGTGAGGATGGTAGAGATACAACTTGATGAGAAGAAACATTCAAGTGTGGACATGCGGAGTCCATCATAGGGTAAACAGCCAACGACAAGACCAGGTAAAAAGAGATCAGGTGGACCGATTCGTAGTGGTTCTTGACATGTTCTCGAAACCATACAATTGCACGTAGTGTTGGTGAATACGCAAGGTACACTTCGTATGAGATAACCGTTCGACTCGTCACCATACTCCAACAACCAATCAGTATTGAAGGCTGTCGGCAAAAAGTTGAAGTGAAACATTTCAAGTAGGAAATATTGTATCCGTCGAAATTCCTTTGGCATGAATTCAATGAACTGGGCAATGGTGGCGTTAATTTGTATTTCGAATGGTTTTCGAGATGATACAGTTGCGGTGAGCAGCGACTTTCCAAGGAATGTGTCTATTTGAAAATCGACATTCTTTGCTATTTCTTCACACATCCATCCCAAAATTTGAAAATGCTTGCTGAGAAGTGGTCGATCAAGTTGCAGATGATTGTTTGCAGAAGATCCATATCCATATAATAGCGTTGTCCATGTTGTATTGATAAATGCACTCAAACAGATCTGAACGATGCATGATATGAAAAATCTTAGAAATCAGTAAACTAGAAATCATATCATATGCAACAGCACTTAGAGGTCAAAAAAAAACTAAGCTTAATATGCTATTGTTTTATATAAGATCTTTCTATGTTTGATGAGTAGCATTATGTGTCAGGTATCAACCAACAGTCAAGAGCTCTCTGTGTTTGAAAATCATACAAACTATAAGTGTACTCTTCTGAATCTTAGTATATAAACAAGCAGACTGATTCGATAGGGGACCATTGTGGATGCAAACTCTTCGTCATGAAAAGTTTCCGTTTTTTTCTAACGGAGCCAAATATTTTTCTTGCATCTGGTGACAAAAAATTTTTCACTCTCTCTCAAAAAATATCACGGTGCTCTATGCCCTCTTCCATGTTTACTACCTGAGGCTAGTCCCGTAAATAACGTTTCATATTCGAAGAAAAGCCTCATTCTCGTA